TCAGAGAAAAAGAGGCAGACCCCCAATGAGATGGATTGGCCAAGTGGCAGCATCGATGGACTCAAGCGTGGCAACAGTAGTGAGGTTGGCCCAGGATTGGACACTGTTTCGTTCTGCTGTGCATAAGGTCGCTATGGGTCGGTACCAACTTGATGGCACCTAATAACAACAACAAAAACCACCACCAGGCAACGTCCCTAAGAGAGCACAACTGGGTTAGCTTAGAACTATGCTTTGGGGAGGCTCATTAGGCACCAGTGTGCACAGCAGAAGAGGCAGGCAACAGAAGAAAAGCAGAATGGATGAAGACCATCTTAGGAAACCTCTGTCTTAGTGGGGATAAAATGAGAAATAGCAAGAGAGTGGTTTGCTTTGTATTCAGAGAGAATACAACTATATACCGTATTAGGTAGGAGATCCTGGGTAGCACAAGGACTCAACTACTAGCCGAAAGGTTGTCAGCTCGAACCCACCCAATGGTACCTTGGGAAACAGACCTGGTGATCTACTTCTGAAACGTCACAGTCTTGGAAACTTTATGTAGCAGTTCTACTCTGCACACACAGGTTGCCATGAATCAATCGGAATCAACTCAACGACAACTAACAACAACTATATTAAATGAGAACTCGAGAGAGACCCTGAATCAATGTTGGTGAGACAGCAAGGCAGAGATGGCACTGAAAAGTCTGATCATGTGATGACACAGGAAGACAGAGTAAGAAATGTGGATGACAGGAATAGGGACTTGAGGAAGGGGAGCTGATTTTTGTGATGGATAAAGGGGAGGAGAGACAGGAAAAATAAAAAAGATGAGTCTTATCCGAAACATGCTAAATTTGAAGCAGCAGAAGACCCCTAAGAGAGAACTATCTGGGAAAGAGATGAGAACTGGTTGGTAGGGATTAGGGAGTCCTTTGCATCTAGATGATTTGAAGAATAAGGACTGAAGAAAGAATGTTTGAGGAACAGATGGAGTAAAAGCAGTCAAAAAATACAAGAGAGAGCAATTAGAGATGGAGAAGAATAAGAACATTAAACTGACAAGAGGAAAGAGACTGAAGAAGGAAAGTGTCAATTAAAATGTGTTGCCAGATACTGAAGCTCAAAGAAGCCCACTAGATCTGGAGACTGTTAGCGCCACCTTGGAGGACAGGAAGGAAAGAAAGCTAGGTGGTGAAGCTTAAGGAGAAAGGACAATGATAAGACAATAAAAAAAGACAACTCCCAGAATGACAGCATTTTTTTGGTGCAGCTCCTAAGGGAACTGCATTCAGAATATGAAGTCCCTGCTGGGTGCAATGGCTACCACACTTGGCTGCTAAATGAAAGGTTAAAGGTTCAAGTCCACCTAGAGGTGCCTAGGAGAAAGGACTGGCAACCTACTTCTGAAAAATTAGCCACTGAGAAGCCTGGAGGACACAGTTCTCCTCGGACACAATGGGAGTGCCAAAAGTCTGAATGGACTCAATGATCACTGGTAAAAATTCAGAATATAAAAAGAACTCTAACAACTTAAAAGTAAAATGATAACTTAATTTTAAAAATGGGCAAAGGATCTGAATATAATAAACCTGCAGGCTTTTGGAACATGAGACTTTCTCATAAACAATCTATAGGCGGACAAGGGGACACATACCTAGTGGGTTTCTTCTATAGTGAAATGAGTCTTCTGCAGAGTAAGTAGGCTGGAACATACTTCCCAGCTGATGTGCAAGGACCTGATTTATATTGTTAAAGGAGATCTGTCTGATATTCATCATCTTCGCACAAATCTTATGGATAGCATCATTCTCATGAACAAGGAGGGCATCTGAACATCGGTACAAGTGAGAAAGAGTCAAAATGGAGTTGTAATTCTGGACAATAACCTGGAGAGAAAAAGGTCAGACAAAGAGAGGTAGGAATGAAGAGTGGTGAGGAACACACACTAACAGTTCCTTGCCTGGGGTTCACATCCTGGTTCTGTCACTTTTTTGCATCTGACCCTGGACAGGCTGTTTAACCTCTCAATGCCAGTGACCTCATTTATTAATAAAACAAAATAACACATTGTCATCAAGTTGATTGTGACTCATGATGACCCCCATGTTACAGATAAGATGGGGCCATAATTATACCAGTCTCTGAGAGCGGGAAAGATTTCTGATATAATGCAAGTCAAGCACTTAGAACAGTGACTCATACAAGTAAACACGAGCTATTATTATCACACTTCCTTCCTACAAGGATCCCCAGTGGCATAGTGATTAAGAGCTGGCTGCTAACCAAAGGTCAGTAGTTCAAACCCATCAGCAACTCCACAGGAAGAAGATGTGGCTGTCTGCTTCTGTAAAGATTATAGCCTAGGAACCCTATAGGGCACTTCTAGTTTGTCCTACAGGAGTCCTGGTATGGCCCTGTGGAATAAAGCACTGGACCCCAGAGTTGGTTTGAAACACAGGGTCAGTGGTTCAAACTCACCAGCCACTCCTGGGAAACCCTATACAGGGTTGCTATCAGTTTGAAGTGACTCTAGGGCACATAACAACCACAACAACTTTGTCCTGTAGAGTAGCTAGGAGTTGTAACTGACCTGATGGGCAACAGAGGACGTTTTCCTTCCAACATCATTTCCTACAATGACTTGTTTCATCTCGATTTTATTGATTCTCCTACTAGACTGATCATCACAAAATTGGCCTATGTATAAATTTCTTCCTCGGGAGTTATTTAAAGGATGACAATGGGACCATAATATATAACCCAAGAGGAGATAACGGGACAAACACAGGAGAGAAGATCTACAATCAACTTCTTTGGAAAATTTAATAACAACTTATCTGATGGGAAAAGTTTAAGCAAAGGTAAGTGAATTGTACTTATGAACGTACCATGTTATATAATTATTCCTGAAGCTCTAATTTAACATTGCTAAAGAAAGGGTGAGAATTCATTTCCTACCCACATTTCTTTCACTTGGGAAGGATGTAAAATAGACAATTTTCAGTTAATAAGTTCATACCTCACCAGTTCCATACGGCCATATAACCTGATTCATTTTCAAAGCATTTGGGTACTGATCTTGTAAATTCTGGGTAATGAAGGCTCCTAGGCCTGATCCTGTACCCCCAGCCATGCTCATTATGATGGAAAAACCATGCAAAGAGTCACATTTCTCCACTTCCTTCCGAATTAGGTTCATTATTGATTCTTCATGCTTGGGTCCATGACAAGAATAACTATGCAGCAAAAGAAGAGACAAACATAAACATCTTTCAAACTGACCAGAGAGATGCAATGCAGAAACACCCAGCACAGAGAAAGCTTTTCAAAGCTGTGCAAATGAACTCATTCTCATGAAAGGTATAGGGACCCAGAATGGCACAATTAAAAAAACAAAAACAAAAAACACATAAATATGTTTAACAGGTAACTTAAACTTATAAAGGTGTACTTGCTAGGTATAAAAAAATGTCCTTTTATGGGACATTCATTTACCTGCAGGCTTCAATTAGCAGATAGTTCTGCAAGTCTGTGTTAAAACATGGTATTTGCTATTCCTAACAATAGTCCTAGAGCAGTGGTTCTCCAACTCTGCTGCACATTAAAATCACATTGAGACCTTTGACAAATCACAACACTGAGGCTTCATCCCAAACCTATTAAATCAAAATCTCACAGAATGAGTTCGAAGCATCAGGATTTTCCAAAGATTCCTAGGAAATTTTGTTGTTGTGCCATCAAGTCAGTTCTGACCCACAGTGATCCTCTATAGGGTTTCCAAGGAGCAGCTGGTATATTTGAACCGCTGACCTTGAGGTTCAAACTGACTTTGCAATCCAGCACATTAACCCACAGCACTATACCAGGACTCATAGGAAATTTTAGAGTGCAACAAAGTTCTAGAACCACTGTCTTGTAGCATCCCTGCCCAGAAAACCAGAATACTTGCCAGATAAAGGCAATGCATTGGCAGCATGACAGTGAAGAAGGTGGAAATTTTGTTGCAAGAGACCCTTGGTTTTATCATTATCTTTACCTGAAGCACACACAGAAAGCTAGCATAAGGGTTTCTTTGGGGAGAATTTAAACTGTAAATTTTAAAGTAGCAATTTCAAGACTGTATGCTAGGTATACCAACGGTACAACCATAACTTCACTGTCTATTCATCAACAATGTAGCTGTAATTAAATTGCAAATCATGTGGAATTCCTCTTACCCGTATGCCCAGTTGTTTCCAGAACCTTGCTTTTGACAAAAACATGCATGTTGACCATATTTCCATCGGCCAGACTGTGCAGCCTTTGACAGTGTTTGATTGATAACTTTAGGTTCCATGTCAACAAGCACAGACCGGGCAACTAGAACTAGAAAGTGAAAAAAAAAAAAAAAATCAAAATGAAAAGATCTCATACATCTTATTTAACTCATCATAAACTTCTAGGTCCAGAAAAAAAAACAAAAAACAAAACACACACTAAAAACACCCGATTGCCATTCTGCTTTTAAATCTACGTAGGCAGCAGTAGGTATATGCAGAAGGTTCAAAATGTCCAGCATTTTGCTAAGCAGGATGAATCAGTGTCAGCTGCAGTGATCCCTTGGTCAGATCTACAAACATCTGTTGAGTTCTTATAATGTGCCATGACCTGTGATTGGAATATAGAGATGAAGATAGTGTCAAATCGCCACTAGCAGAACTTACGGTCTACTGAGAGAGGTAAACACATGAAGGGAGAAGCACGCTCAGAGCTCTAAAACACAAAGGGCACAAGCAGTTCAAGATCGTTGGACCAGAAAGTGGAGAAGGTGTGGGTTTAAGAAGTGATAGATGGGGCTGGAAAGGAGGTAGTAAAGGCTCAGGTCTTGGAATGTCTTGTATGAAATTCTATAAAAGTGGACCATCTTATAAGCAATGAGAATCCACTAAAAATTTTCAAGCATGGTAAAAATAGATCTTTTTTTTTTTTTTCTCATTGAGCATACAGTAGCGTGGAGGAACAATGTAACAGACATAAAACCCTAGACACGAAAACTCATAAAGAGAATCTTGAAAACAGACCAGGTGAGACAGCATAAGAGCCTGAACTAAGGTAACAACAGGTAAGAGGAAAAGAACAGTTGCAAGAGATTGTTGTTGTTGTTAAGTGCCGTCGAGTCGGTTCCGACTCATAGCGACTCTGTACAGGGTTCTGAGGAGCAGTTGTTGAGCTTGAACCACCACCCTTGCAGTTCAAATTGACCTTGCGGTCCAGTGCTTATCCTACAGGGCCACATGAGGACTCCAAGAGATACATAAATTAAAAAACAAACAAGCAAAAAACTGCCATCAAGTTGGTTCTGACTCACAGTGACCCTGTATAGGGTTTGAGAGTCTGCAAAACTTCATGGAAGCAGAGAGTTTCATCTTTCTCCAGTGGAGTAGCTGGCGGATTTGAACTGTGCATATTGCGGTTAGCAGTCCAGTGCTTATCCTACAGCATTATTAAGACTCCCGCAAGAGAAATACTCATAATGTCATAGAGTTGATTCTGACTCATAGAAAACTTCTGTAGGGGTTTTTGAGACTGTAAATCTTTGCAGGAGCAGATTTCCTGCAGAGTAGCTGATGGGTTTGAACCACCGAGCTTGTGGTTCGCAGACCCTGCTGATCCTACATGAGCCCTTGGGTGTGGAGATGTTGGGTTTGTGGCACAGCTTTGAATCAGTTTGATTCAGCTCAGTTATGGCTACAGACTCGAAATCAGAACACAAACAAATTTTTAAATTTCAGTAAAACGGAATGATATTCAGGATAAGAAAAATTATAGTTTGAAACCCTGAAATAGGAGACGTGGAAGAGGCCTAGTAAACTCTTTTGGGAGACTGATGCAGACGACTGGATTCTTGCCAGGAATGTGAAGAGTGATACACATTCCAAGCAGTACAGTTGCTCACCATCTTTGAGGCATCACTGTTTGAGGTTCTGCTAGTCAAGAGATTTGGTTGCTATGACATATGCATGCTGCCCCTGTTTTCTAAGAGGGAGATTAAGTTTCTAGCAAGGTGTTGACCTGCAGATTTTCTGTTCTGATTACCATTCTGGTTCACCCACATTTTATAAATTCAGGTTCATTAAGGGTTCACTTCAGCAGCTATGAATGCAAGGGGAGAACAGATTGGAAGCCCAGGTTTCACATGTACCTGGGAAATGCAGGTGGTGAGATCCACTTTATCAACCTGCAAGTTGGGAGAGGCTGAAGCTACCATGTAGTTAAATTATAGGAGTGAGTGAAACTATCCAGCGAGAACTATGTAAGTGAGGAGAGAGGAGAGATGGAGATGGAACCATTGTAGAAGCAAAGTTCAGACACTAATGCAGGAACTTTTAGAGTTTGCGTTGTCCAGCAGAGAAGCTAAATGAATTAAGAAAAGACAAACAGCTACTGCATCTGGTAATCAGGAAACTTTTTCTTACAGCAGCTTCAGTGGTGGTGAAGGGCAGAAGCAGGATGACCCACAGTGGGTTAAGAAGGGTCCCCCGTTGAGAATCTTGGACGAGAAGACAAAAAAATTAAGAAGAAAACTTTAGTCAAGAGAGAAATTTTTTGTTTTGCTTTGTTTTAGACTGGAGAGATCTGAGCAGACGCATGTGCTGAGGAAAGATGCCATTGGGAGGCAAAGGTTGTCAATACAGAAATAAATGGGAGAGAGCAAAGTTAGGTCCCTAGAGAGATGGGGAAGGGTGAGGTTCAGAAACCAAGTGAAGGGGTTGGCCTTGAGGAGGTTGGCTGTAACAGAATAAAGGAAAGGCCCACAAATGACACATACCTCCATTTTCCTCCTCACTGAAGAATCTTTCTTTGCATGATGCTTGATATGCTTCATTCTCTTTCTTAGAGCAGAGTCCCTGGGAACAGTATGAGTCACTGTATAAAGCATCAAACACTTCAAAACCAACTTGATTGCCACACTGACCAAGTTGCACTGTTACTATTGACATGGTGAGTCACAAAGTCCCACCAAAAAAGTGAGCAACCTATAAAAGAAAAATATAGGCTTTGAGAACCACTCTATAGGATACCTGCTGTGGTACTATACCACTGGCACTGGACTAAGAACCACAAGGACAGCAGTTCAAACCCACCAGCTGCTTCCCAGAAACCCTATAGAGGGTCACTGAGTCGGAACCGACTCGATGACACAACTACAACAACATATTGCTAAAAGTACAAATAATACACTACAGATGTTAATTACACTTCAATAAAAAATAAAAATTTTAAATGCCACGTATGTACATATATATTACAAATGAAATAGCTATGTTGTTCAAGGAGGTGTTTGTTTTTTTTCCTTTTTCTTTATGGGTTTGGAATTTGGGGCTTGTTGTTGTTGTTAGGTGCCATTGAGTCGGAAGCGACTCATATCGATCCTTTAGACAACAGAATGCCACATTTGAGCCCACTGATGTTGCCACTTTCCCAATTCATCTCGCTTGGGGTCTTCCTCTTTTTCTCTGACCCTCCACCTTAACAAACATGATATCCTTCTCCAGCAACTGCTCCCTCCTGACAAAATGTCTGAAGTATGAGAGA